AATACAGCAATAGCGTTGGGTAGGACCGCTCGGGAGAGGCTGCTAGAATCTCAGGGCCCGGATAGGCTGCCTAAACGAAGAAGGACTAAGATGGCGATCTGTACTTTCAACCCACGAACGCTTGCATCCGAAGCTCACATCGAAGACGCAGGCCAGGAAGATCAAGTACGACGTCATCGGACTGACCGAGACGAGAAGGCACCGCCCGCTACACGCCGTTTTCGATACTGGAGAAGAACTGTTCCTTGGAACATGCGACAGCAGAGGCGTTGGCGGTGTGGGTGTCCTCGTCAACACGCACTTGGCCATAAACATCGATTCGTACGAAAGCCTTACGACCCGAATCGGACGTTTGAGATTGAGAAGATGTGGTTCAACTCCTGCTTTGACAATCTTCGTCGCCTACGCACCAACATCCAGCTACGACGAGGAGGAACACGAAGCATTTTATATGGAATTGGAGAAGTTCTACAGGAAGATCATACCTTCTTCAAGGTCATCGTCGGCGACTTCAACGCTAAGATTGGCCCAAGAAGAACGGCTGAAGAACTTCACATCGGTACTCACGGAATGGATTGGAATGAGCAGGGCGAAAGACTGTCGAGTTTATCATGTCGACCAACACCATCCATGGTAACTCGCAGTTCCAGAAGCCCTCTCACCTTCGTTGGACTTGGGAGTCACCTGATGGACAGTTCCATAACGAGATAGACCACATCATCTTCAATCGAAGGTTTTGCCTGACCGACGTCGCTGTTGTTCCAAAGTTCTACACGGGATCGGACCATCGTCTCCTCCGCGCAAGATTCCACTTCTCGATGCGTGTTGAGAGAGCAGCAAAGTTCAGGAAGCGAAGCCCAGGACAGTCATCAACTGGGACCACTTCGCTTCCCTCGTCAGCTTATGGGAGGATTCCGTCATCGAAAACATCGACGAGGAGTACTATCGGCTCGTTGAACATCTTCACGATTGTGGCAGGAAGGCAGAGAGTTTGAAAGTCACCAAGGGACGTCTGTCTCCGGAAACTCTCGAACTGATACGCCAGCGTGGAGCCGCACGAGCTGCAGGCAATCACCGACTCACGTCCGAGCTTGCGAAGCTATGCAGAGAGGCGATAAAGGAAGATCTCAAGGAGCGAAGAGCAGCAGTATTAGCTGAAGCAGCAGAGGCTGGGAGGAGCATCCGCAATGCCCGCCGAAGCTTTGCCAGCTACAAGACCAAGATGACCTGCCTCCGACGTCCGGATGGAACAGTTACTGCATCCCGAAGGGCAATGGAGAAAGTCATCCACGACTTCTACTCGGATCTCTTCGATAGCCATGTCCATCTGCCTACTTATCAACCGCAAGAGGATGGATACGTCGTCCCTCAGTTCTCTCTTCCGAAGTCCGACACGCCATCAAGTCGGTGAAATTGTACAGCACCCGGTCTCGACAGGGTTAAACCGGAACATCTGAAGAACGCACCGCCAGTTATC